CCAAAACCCCTCTCCAATAAAACCTACCCAATATCACAAAAAAGCGACATACCTTACGTCTCGCTTTTGTAAGATGTTGCTGCTTATCTGTACTATATAATGAAAAGTCCCGAAATGACCTACTTTGTGTAAAGTGGACGTTAAACCCCCCTCTCTCTCCCTGTGGTTACATCAAGACTCGTCTACTGTAATTCATTTTTGTACAATCTACCTGAACATAAAATTAAACGACTTCAGAAACTTCAAAGCAGCCCGGATCATAACCAAGACTAAACGAAATGAACATGTGACACCAATTCTGAAAGATCACACTTGGATTCAGTCCGTCAACGTATAAATTTTAAAATACTGTCTATTACGTATTCTGCTCTAAATGACGATTCTTCACCTCAATACCTTCTCAACACCAATAAACGTTGCTGAACCCTTCGATCACAATAAGACAACCTTTTAATTAAGCCTTTTTTATAAACCAACTCCGGTGATAGATCTTTCGCAGACGGTGCTCCGAAGTTATTGAATTCAATATCAAACAAAACCAAAATCGCAAATTCTATTAAAGGTTTTAAAAAGTATCTCAAAACCGAACTTTTTGATCAACTATATTTGAATGCGGTTCTAGCTGTGTTTGTGTACTAAATAATGTTCTTTGTTCGTGTCTTTTTTATGGATTAATGTGTTGTGATTGTTGTAATTTTATATTAGTTGTACTTATATAAAGCGCCTGAGAGCAGCTCGCTGAGTTGAATTGTTGGCTATATAAATCAATTATTATTATTATTATTTACTCTCTCTCTCCCTCTCTCTCTCTCTCTCTCTCTCTCTCTCTCTCTCCGTCTCACCCTCTCAAGGGTATATATATGTTGTTGATAATAGATATCAAATCAAAATATAACAAAGGTACATTCCATTGCACTTTATTAATACGAAACAAATATCAAATATCCCTCCTTGTTCTTCTGGATTTGTCAGCCGCTCTCGACTCCTAAAACGACTGGAAACCTAATTTGGTGTAACCGGAACTTGCTAAAATTGGTTCGTTTCATATTTATCACATAGAACACAAACAGTCATTATCAAATCAGTGTTCTCGTCTGAGACTGTGTTACAGGATGTTGTTTAACATGTACATGAAGCTTCTCACAACTTTTTGACTCATATTTTATTCGGACATAAATCAGACAGAAATACAACGTAAAATGACATCACGCATACAGAATGTAAAATTTTGGATGAACATAAACAAACTGAAATTAAATGAAGAAAAAACGGAAACACTTGATATAGGCCCTAAACCACGACTCACGAAAATAACCGACCAATAGGTTTCAATCAATGATGTCATCATCCCTTTTCGTCCAGTCGCTAAAAACCTGTGTGTGTTCATTGACTCTCGGTTAAACATGGAAAACCATATAAATGATTTGTGCAAAAAGTGTTATTGTCACCTCAAAAGTATTGGCTCCATTCGAAATCTAATCACAGCAACCGCAGCTCTAGTTAGATCTCTGATATTTTCTGGACTTGACTATTGCAATAGTCTACTTGTCGGCATTCCCACGTATCAAACAGAACTACTTCAACGCATCCAGAATACAGCTGCTCGCATTGTGACAAGGTCAAACCCACACTCTCATATCATTCCAGTCTTGAAAAAAAACTACATTCGTTGTCTGTTCAAGACAGGATCGATTTCAAAATATTGTCCCTTGCCTATCAGTGTCTGGATGGAAGTGCTCCGAAGTACCTGCGAGATCTCTTAAAATGTTACATCCCATCTAGACAGTTGCGATCAATTAATCAGAAAAAAAACTTTGTGTTTCTCGGTGGAAGTTAAAGTCGTTTGATGGTCGCTCTTTCCAAGTCACTGCATCTACACAGTGGAACAGGCTACCATTAAACCTTCAAAGAAGTCCTCGAATCCCCGGTTGTACGTGGCAAGGAGTAGGGTCACCTGTCCAACCTCGTGGGTTTTCTCCGGGTCCTCCGGTTTCCTCCCACTGCTAAAGACCCCTACGCGCAAGCGAATTATGTAAATGAAATTAAACCATATGTAAGTCCCGAAATGACCTAGTTTGTGTCGAGTGGACGTTAGACCCTCCCTCTCTCTCTCTCTCTCTCTCTCTCTCAAAGAAGTCCTACACTTAATAAATTCAAATCCAACTTGAAAAATTACCTGTTTGATGATTATTAATATTAGACCTATACAATTAATTGGTGTTTAGTAAGCTGAATTCAAGCAGATCAAGCAATTGTCAGTAGAATTTGGAGGATCAAACGTCTAGACTGTCCTATTGATCACATCCTTTAATTAACTGTTTTCCCCCCATTCCATATGGAATTAAAAGATGTCTCCGCCCAGACCATGGAATTAATTGAGATATTGTTAAATTCTATTTAATAGTAGGATCGTTATTATTATATTATATCAGATGCGAAAATATTTTTATCTGTTCTTTTTCAGGGAGTTTAAAGGGACATTTCAATGATATGTATAGTCTAAAGTCATTAAACTAACAGTCGAGGCAGTGGGGGGGGGGGGCGAATAGCATAGCTTCCATCCCACACTTGAAGGGTTCCTGCCTAACCTCGTGGGTTTTCTCGGTGTCTCTGGTTTGCTCCTCCACGCGCATGCGAACTATTGAAATTGAATTGTACCCATTTCTTAGTCTCGAAATGACCTTGTTTGTATTGAGGCGACGCTAAACCCCATTTCCTTCGTTCTGGAAGTAGTGACAGTTGTTCTATTCGGTGCATGTTACATTTATTAAGGGAGGTGAAATGGCGTTTAACTTCCTTCTTTTCTGCACACCTCATACACGCATGTTATGAGGGCAATTTTGCCAGGACAGCGGCGCCACGATATATCGAATTCCAAGTAAGAAGGGTTCTTTTACGTGCACGCCAATCTGTACGACTATGCTTTGTCGATCGCAGTTATAACACTCGCAAACTGATAATGGACCTCATCTAGGTTTTTGAAAATGAAATGAAATGGGGTTTAATGTCCTACTATTTTCCACAGACATAACATTTCAATAATTCGCTTCCGCGAGGGGATCTTTAGCAGTGTGGAGGGGGGGGGCAGAGAAAACCCACGAAGTTGGACAGACAACCCTACTCCTTGTCACGTTCAAGCGGGGAATAGAAACTTAACCACTTGACTCAATCACAGATCTTGTGATTTCACGCACAAGTGTTAAACCACTAGACCAGACACCACCACCCCCACTCAGCCGACAAGGAACTATATCTTATAGATATACATAATCTACGCACAATATCCAAATTTTAAGATTTCATTAAAAAAATTGACAAAATAATGGGTAAGTGAAACTAACACATAAACACTCTTGTCGGTTCTTGTCGGCGATTAGTAAGATCGTTTCAATCATCCATGACGTTTTTATTTATTTATTTTTTTCGTCTCAAACACATGTGGTTATTAATAATCTATATAATCTCTGAATCCCCCAAAAAATTCAATGATAATACGTACCACATCTATATTATATTATGAGAACTTATCTTTAACAAGTTTTCTATCAGTCAACTTACTTCATTTTGAGCGGAGTTCGTCATTTGCGTAACAGTGTAGTCTCGATTGTCATTGCTACCTTTGTTACGATAACATGCAAAGTCACGATTATCCGTATTTAAATCTGTTGAAAATCAAACTATCAGAAGTTCTAGATAGTTGATTATGGGCCTGACATATAAATAAATGTGAAATTAATGATTAATATAACATTTGAGACCAGACGAAATATTTGCATTAGGCAGATTTAGCTCATGGATAATGCATCTTTAAGCAGGGAAATTAATCTTTTCCCTGAACAAATAATTTAAATGTCAGAATAATAATAGGGTACAAAGGTGAGTCCAAACGAAATATCTGCGTTAGGCATTTAGCTCTTGAATAATGCATCTTTAAGGTTTTGTTAGGTTCGCCAACTGACCGAGCATAAGACGCCCACCGACGAAATATTATTCCAGACTTCTGTTTATAGTTATGAAATGCCAAAGCGTAGAAAAAAGTGGAGGTTGAAAGAATTAATTCTGGCCACTTTCTGTAAACTTTTACCTAACAGTATAAGACGGTTTATTTGTGTTGGCACTCGGCGATATATCGCACACGATTTATAGAACTCTTTAAATCTTATGATTACGATATACATTTCTTGATTACTTTCCTCTTGTTGTTTGGCCGCGCTTGATAATAAAACTCACTTACAACCGTGGAATGTAAACTGAACAAGTGGATGACGGATATACTTATATACAGTTCAAATTAATTCTGGTAACATGCTCGTTGTTTAGTCCAGCAGAAAATGGGTTGAATACATAACAGCTGGTAAGAGGTTGGTTGTGCATGCATGTAAGTCCAGAAGACAATGGAGTCACTGCGATATTCTCTAATCTGATTAGCAGAAATTCCGATTTATTTTGGTTAATTATTGAAATATTTATCCAACAGATGTTATACGAATCTATTTTTTTTTAAGGTTTGAGGATTTTTAGATGTAATAATAGGAATATTAGTTGTATTCTTTAATATAACATTAATTTTTAGATGTAATAATAGGAATATCTGTTGTATTCTTTAATATTACATTAATTTTTAGATGTAATAATAGGAATATTTGTTGTATTCTTTAATATTACATTAATTTTTAGATGTAATAATAGGAATATTTGTTGTATTCTTTAATATTACATTAACTTTTAGATGTAATAATAGGAATATTTGTCGTATTCTTTAATATTACATTAATTTTTAGATGTAATAATAGGAATATTTGTTGCATTCATTAATATAACATTAATTTTTAAGTAGTTTTGATTTTATATAGTATTTATTTCAATCATTTTGGCTGTATCAGTATTGTGCTTGGCAATTGACTCATTGTAGAAATGTAGCGCAGATTGAAAATACAGTAATTGTTTTCCATAGAACTTTTTCGTTTATTTTACGTTTATATACATTTGTCTCTTTTCAGGTGAAGATATATTTTTTTTTAAAATCAAAAACGCCAGAAATATTAAATTAAAAACATGGAAGAAATGTGTCGAGACCGAGTCGGATTATTTAATGTGGCATTCTACAAATTGTGGACCTGCGCTATGTGTTATTCCTATCTTTTCCGAAACGAAATGGAACTTCAGTCGAATGGTAATATAGGGCTCGTCTCTGTAAACGGTACTGTTTTTCCTCCTGGTACAACACTTTATCCCCATATAGACAACCAAACCGGCATGGATATGGTCTGTGAAACTCTAGACAGTTATGATTGCTATCGATGGACATCGTGTTGTGAAAATGCTATGTCCTGTTGTGATAGACAGAGATCCACAGCCAACTATAGCGGCCCGGGAAAATATTGCCCCCGTACATGGGATGGATTTGGCTGTTTTGACGATACACCGGCTTCAGACGTATCATACATCAAATGCCCTGAATATATTGACCAGGCGAATCCAATGGGTGAGTAAAACTAATTGTTTATTTATTAAAACAGTCGATCGCTCATTTAATGAGAGATTTTTTAATCCCTGGCAGACTACAATATTATAAAAGTTGAATATCTACAAGGAATATCAGGCTAAAAATAGTTCCATCCCGATTTGTATTTACAAAGATATGACGAATTGGAAATTTCGCAACATTTGCCATTCCATGTAGACAAGCAAGAGATTTTGTTCTTAATTAAATGTTAAATTTGAGTACATTGTATCGTGTATTAAGCCGTGAAAAGCGTCTGACAATGCATCTGAGATCAGAGACTTTCGTCATCAGGCTTTTTGAATATTGGGTAATACACTAGACGTACATATTTAGTAACTCGGATGACGCAATCAGAATTTAGTCGTTGAGCAAGCACAGAAAATCTGGTGTATAAACCGGTTCTCCCGTGACGTCTATTGTGAACAGTTCATGACCAAATGAATAAGGCGTCGGCTCGCGACCCAGGAGCTTCGTTTATTCGTCCCATCCGAATGACTAGACACTGTCCTCGCCAGGCCCTCCGTTCTGCACCACTAACAAAGGGAAACCACGCCGGGAAATTCAGAGAAAGCAAACCCGAGACCTCCTGGTTAGCGAGTCAGCATCTTACTGACTGAGCCACCGCGGCTCCCAGATGCTCTGGGTGTCACTATACAGGCTATTAGTTGCAAAATGAAATGGGGTTTAACGTTCTACTGTTCTGATCCTTTACCCAGACAGCGACCCTACGGCCTACTCTTATATCGAATTCTAAACTGCCAACGGATCCTTTACCTCCAAGCAAATGTGTACATAGGACCGCCGTTTTTAGTCCCACCCGGACGACTATACATTTTCCCTTGCTAGGCCCTATGTCCTGCACCACTGACAAGGGGGAACCACGCCGGATACACCGATGAACTTTCTCGGCCAATGCTCACACTATTAGTCGCACATTGAAGGTAATATAAATACGTCCATTTTTATCATACATTGTTTCTATAGCCCTATATTAAAGATACATTATGGGAGATTCGATAACGAGTTGGCAGTTCTCACTATAATAGTTAAAAACTAGATAATGTAAAGGCAATTTGCTGAAAATTTCCATTCAAATTGATCCACCATGAACCGAGAACTAAGCGATTGAAATTTCCGCCTAGCATCGATCATCATTACTAAAGTCAGTACGATAAACAGCATAGTCTCGATTATCCATTTAATCGTTAAATCGTGAAGGAAAGTTATGCAGTGAATCGGCTCATAATCCACCAAAGATCGCAAGCTAACGATGCCATCTAGAGTTGTTTATGGTCTGGATAGGTTAATTAATGTCTAATTAATAATTTAGATAACATTTCAGGCCTAATGAAAAACCTGCAATAAGACAGATTTAGCTCTTGCATAATGTATATTTAAGAATTGTGTATTTAACAGTTATAATGTTTTAAACAGTTATAATGTTTTAAACAGAAATCCCTTAAAGCAGATCTGAAGAAAATAAAAGATAGACCGTGATGGTAGAATGTTTCATGGTCTTGTTCTGTGAGCATTATTAGCATAATAATAGCATGGGGAGAATCGTGGTACCTATACAGACAATCCTTGCTTTGGCTAATGGCTTACATGATTGCAAGCAAATTCAAATAAGTATTATATATTGTCCAAGGATAGGGGTATATGGAATGGTTACTAAAACCGCTAAGATTAACTCTTATGGGGTTGTTTTTCACCATAGATGGTCAGAGGGGGCTTCTCATAAATTACCCAGAACACAATTCAATTGACGTCACACATGTCACTTCCTGGCCATGAACAACGTTTTTTAAGTCATTATTAAAAATTGATCGACATTCAGCATGAGATGTTTACCTCTGTCAAATACATTAAACCACGCATCGTCGGCCATATTAACCCGTAACTATACACCATTTAAATCACGAATTGCTTGACAAATTTTACAAGCTTCCACCATTATGGTAACAAAGGTTGCAGTTACGAGCATTGATTGGCCTTTTTAATACTCGATATCCCCTGAGTGTTGTTATAAAGGCGGTCTTCTGTTTTTTAACTCTAAGCCCGTCTGGGCAATTGACATGCTTTATGGATTGTATGATTGAATACTTCCTATTAAATAATATGTCAACTAACGACGGACAGTGTGTCACTTATACCATTGACAAAAGGAGAATACGGTGTCGCTTACACCATTAACAATAACATATCAAATGACAATATTTCCACATTATGAATTTTAACAGATCAATTTCTAGGAGCTGAAAGTATTCTATAAAATTTCATCCATGTATTTTAAAACATTCTGTATTTTTCAATCATGTTAACATCACCAGTTTTCATCGTAAAGGCGATTTCTATGAGTTATTTAATACACGTGGGAAGTTGGAAGTCGTCTATGCAAATTGCACCCATCAATTTGAAAACATTCTATTTCTTGGAGCATGTCAACATCACCATTATTCGCTGCTAATGAAATCGCCTTCCGATGAATTACATGTACAATCAACAGATTACAAACCAAGTCAGCCTTGTAATGTTTACAAAGATTAGAATAAATTGCTGTTCGACAAAAACACGGAAAATCAAATCCTCTGCATTATGACCTTTATTTATGGCCTATCATGCAAATAATCAGTGGGCAAACGCAGAATAAAATCTCGACGGCTCTCACTTTCTTAAACACAGTGGTGCAAAACTTAGACCATACAACACAGAGTATAAAAACAGCATACAACACAAATCTTTCGTGTTAAATGGAATTGTGCATCTAACCGGCAGTTTACCCCAGACAGTAAAATACGAGTTTGTAGGATTACCCGCGCAACATGTAGTGGTAGTCTACTAGTAGATGGGTTTACTGGTGGCTAAGACGTGTGCGACCAGTCGGGTGGGTTTACTTGTGGTTCGGACGTGTACGGCCGGTCGGATGCCCCTTATGGTGGCTAAGTCGGATGAGCTTAATATTGACTAAGACAGCTGGGCTTAATAGTAGCTAAGACGTCTACGTTCGGCCAGGTGGCTCAATAGTGGCTAAGACGTGTATGACCAGCCAGATGAGCTCAATAGTGGCTAAGACGTGTATGACCAGCCAGATGAGCTCAATAGTGGCTAAGACGTGTACGGCCAGCCAGATGAGCTCAATAGTGGCTAAGACATGTATGACCAGCCAGATGAGCTCAATAGTGGCTAAGACGTGTACGGCCAGCCAGATGAGCTCAATAGTGGCTAAGACGTGTATGACCAGCCAGATGAGCTCAATAGTGGCTAAGACGGGTACGGCCAGTCGGGTGAGCTATCGGCTTAATTGGGGCTAAGACGTGTACGGCCATCCGGGTCAGCTATGGGCTTAATAATTGATAAGACGTGTATTGTCAGTCCAATGGGCTTGGTGGTGCCTAAAACGTGTACGATCAGCCAAATGGGCTTAAAAGTAGCTAAAACGTGTACGGCCAGTCGGGTGCCCTTAATAATGGCTAAAACTTGTACGGCCAGTCGGACGCTCTTAATAGTGGCTAAGATGTGTACGGTCAGCCCAGTGGGCTTGGTGGTGCCTAAAACGTGTACGGCCAGCCAAGTGGGCTTAATAGTCGCTAAGAAAGACGTGTAAGGTCAGTCGGTGCGCTTAATAGTGGCTAAGACGTGTACGGCCAACCAAGTGGGCTTAATGGTGGCTAAGACATGCAAGGCCAGACGGATGCGCTTAATAATAGCTAGGATGTGTACGACCAGCCAAATGGGCTTAATGGTGGCTATGACGTGTTCGACCAGTGAGATGTAGCAAAGAATAAATCAATACAAAACTATAGCAAAATCTTGATAGCCGTTTGAAATACGTAAAAAAAATGAAATGATACATTTGTAAAATAATGGCAATAAAAAGAGATCCCGGCACTTAAAATATCCTTAATTATACGACCATGGATGCCACAAGCACTTATTCAGAATTAGAAAGCATTAGTAGTGCAGCAAGGTCGGTCATTTAGTAATATTTGATTCTCATTTTTTGTATTCTGGTTTGTTTGTCAAGTTATAATGATAAAACTTTATTCAGTGATACAAGGTCATAGACCCACAGTACATCAAATATAACACACACATATATATATTTATTCGGTTATTGAGCGTATTTCACGTATTTAATTAGAGTCTTTCAGAGAGAGGGGGTGAGAGAGAGAGAGAGAGAGAGAGAGAGAGAGAGATGGGGTTTAACGTCCACTCGACACAATCTAGGCCATTTCGGGACTAACATATGGTTTAATTTAATTTCAATAATTTGCTTGCGTATATAGGGCCTTGGGAGTGGGAGGAAACCGGGGAAGCCGGGGAAACCCCACGAGCTTGGCCAGGCGACACTACTCCTTGTCACGTACAATCGGGGAATCGAAACCACTGCAGTTGACTCGATGACAGACCTTATGATAGAACGCGCTCGCGCTAACCATTCGGCCCCCTAGAGTCATTCATCCTGTAACTATGGAACATACTGAGTTGTGTAAAATCCATTTTTGTAAACAGATATTGTGTAATAGTCATTTGTCTTTGATGACAAATGTCCTGTCAGTAGTCTGACTTTGTAGTTTCTTTTTAAATTTATTGGAATCTCTCTGTCAGAGTTTTATTATTCAAAAATATTGTTAGCTGTTATTGTTTCCTATGCGACTTTTGTTATATCCATCGAACAAAGCTTAAGAATCCATCTGTTATATTGTAGGTAAAAGTGAATAATATATGGAATTTCATCCATATGAAAATCTTTAATAATTCAGAGTACCCTTGAAGGCCTACATGGCGTAAGCCCCTCTTCATTAGGGCGTTAAACAACATTTCATTTCAGTTTCGGGGGGTTTGATAGCCGAATAGTTAGCGCGTGCGCGCGCGTTGTATCATAAAGTCTGTCATTGAGTCAACTGGTGTGGTTTCGATTCCCCGCTTGTACGTGACAAGGAGTAGGGTTGTTTGACCAACCTCAGGGTTTTTCTCCA